ATGTCCAAAATTCCTGGCAACAGGAGAGGTTCAGAGAGAGGTAGAGATACATCTTCTTCATGTGCTCTGTTAACAATGCAAAGGAGAACCCTGAAATGGAATCTGGTCCTCACAGGGGCCAGCAGGCTATTGATGACAGCCTGGATACTTAACTGATCACATGGATAAAGTTAGCCAGGAAATCCTTCTAAGGATCAAATAATTTTTTTTTGTTTTGAGACAGGGTCTCATTCTGGCACCCAGGCTGGAGTGCAGTGGCATTATCACAGCTCACTGCAGCCTTGACCTCCCGGGGCTTAAGTGATTCTCCTACCTCAGCCTCCTGAGTAGCTAAGACTACAGGAACATGCCATTATACCCATCTAATTGTTTCCGTTTTTTTTTTTAGAGATGGGGTCTTGCTATGTTGCCCAGGCTGATCTTAAGCTCCTGGGCTCAAGCAATCCTCCCACTTGAGCCTTCCAGAGTTCTGGTATTAAAGACATCAGCCACTGTGCCCAGCTTTTTATCTCATTTTTAATTCAAGTAGATAAGAGTCTATATTCAAATGGACAAAAATCCACTGTTGATTTTCAAGAACCTATTTAGGATATTTGCTATTAACTGTTTGAACTTCTGTTTTATTCCATTTTTCTTCTAAATTCAAAATATGAATGCTTTTTTTGTTGTTGAGACAGAGTTTCACTCTTGTCGCCCAGGCTGGAGTGCAATGGTACAATCTTGGCATTTGAATGCTTTTTAAAAAAATGTCTCTATATATCAACATTCCAATTTAGGAGGGCCCATCATTCTCTTTTATGGGTTTAATGATAGAAGAAACAAAAGAATAAATTTTTTCTTAGAAGAAAACAGACAACTCTCTTCTGTCTGGTTCATCAAGAGAATGACATTTGGCTCCAAGGAAAGTTTTCACATTTTCTGGCTGTAACTTATCAATATACTGGTGTCTGAGATAACTTCAGGACATACAACATCCATGCTGCAAGTTTAAATGAAAAATGACTTCTTGGCTGGGCGTGGTGGCTCATACCTGTAATCCTAGCACTTTGAGAGGCCGAGATGGGTGGATCACCTGATGTCAGGAGTTCGAGATCAGCCTGGCCAATATGGTAAAACTCCATCTTTAGTAAAAATACAAAAAAAAATTAGCCAGGTGCCCTGCTGGGCACCTGTAATACCAGCTGCTCAGGAAGCTGAGGCATGAAAATCACCTGAACCCAGGAAGCAGAGGTTGCATTGAGCCGAGATCATGCCACTTCACTCTCAGCCTGGGCAGTAGAGCCAAACTCTGCCTCAAAAAAAAAAAAAAAAAAAAAAGAAAAGAAAAGAAAAGAAAAGAAAGAAGGAAAAATAACTTCTTATTTCTCAGGAAAAGCTTGTTTTAAACAGGAAGTTCTTTCACTGTAACTCAGGTAAGGACCATAGAAATGGCCAGAGGTGGGCACAGACACAATTGCCCCTGAGGTTCCAATGCCAAAATGTATAGCTGATGGCTGCCAAGTCAGGTGGGAGGACCTACTTTCTCAAAATTCCAGTTACATCACCTTCTCAAATGAAAAGCCAGCCAGGGCCAGGTGAGATGGCTCAAGCCTATAATCCCAGCACTTTGGGAGGCCGAGGTGGGTGGATCACGAGGTCAAGAGATTGAGACTATCCTGGTCAATATGGTGAAACCCTGTCTCTACTAAAATAAAATACAAAAATTAGCTGGGCATGGTGGCATGCGCCTGTAGTCCCAGCTACTTGGGAGGCTTAGGCAGGAGAATTGCTTGAACCCAGGAGGCGGAGGTTGCGGTGAGCCGAGATTGCGCCATTGCACTCCAGCCTGGGTAACAAGAGCAAAACTCCATCTCAGAAAAAAAAGACAAGCCAGCCAGGCACGGTGGCTTATACCTGTAATCCCAGCACTCTGGGAGGCTGAGGCAGGAGGCTTGCTTGAGCACAGGAGTTCAAGACCAGCCTGGCAACATGGCAAAACCCCAGCTCTACAAAAAATCAGTATATTAGCCAGGTGTGGTGGCTCATGCCTTGTAGTCCCAGCTACTCAGGAGGCTAAGGTGGGAGGATCACCTGAGCCCAGGGAGGTCGAGGCTGCAGTGAGCCATGATCGTGCCACTGCACTCCAGCCTGGGTGCCAGAGTGATACCCTGTTTCAAAAAAAAAAGAAAAGAAAGCCCATGGAGTCATTCCAGTACCTCCCTAAATCAACTCTGCAGACATTTATAAAGGTTAAAACTGAAAACTGAAACTGATCAGTCCCCAAACTAAGGTTTCCATAGCCCTGGCCTTTTCTCAAGACTATGAATAGCTTCCTTTAAACCCAAGATGGCTTTTGACCTTATGCAGGTGTCTGGGGAGGGTGAGCTCATCCCACAATGTAAGGGACTACTATCTGTTTGCAGCTGCTGCAAAGTGAGGCATGTTACAAGATGCAAAAACAGCTGAACACAATTAGGCAAACTTCTTCAGCTAGACCTATCTCAAGTTCAGGACCCAATGAAGTGGTTCAATTTCAGACTCATGACAGAAATAGACTTAAATATTTCATTATTAAACCAATTTCAAGCGTGTATCAAATGATGAGGTCCATATAAAGAAAACAGTCATCTCGTCTTTGATCAAGTTGAAGGAAGAGAACTTGTGTTCATTCTATTAAATTCTTACAGGGTCCAAGGCTGAATCACAAGGTGGACTCATATCCTCTAAGAACCCATGTTAGGGAATCAAAGCAGGCTGTTAATAAACCCTGAAAGCAACTTCCTTCCCTAATAGCCATAGCAACAGTAATAGACCAAAACATTGGGAAGGTTGCTGGAGACAAAGCTTGATGATGGAAACAAAGGAGGAGGGTGCCCCTTCAGTCATTTACAATAAGTCATAAAACTTGAAAAATTAGTTGGACGGAAGTACTTACAAGTAACTAGAATCATCCCAAAGATTTAGCCTCTGATCCTTGTTTTAAGGGGGGAAAAAGTGTTTTTTTCATTGATTTGGGGTGGGGAAAAATGTAGCTTTTGAGCTCAGTACAATGAACTATTTATCTGGCCTGACAAGGCTAATCAAGCTACCCCCGCTGTTTATTATAAGGGGTAGTAGAATACTGGTAGTCTTGATGGGTAGGGGAGGGTCAGAGGCAGCCCAGGGCCTGGTACACAATGCTTCCCTTCAGCTGGAAATTTATGTTAGGCCCAGGTGACCCAGGAGGTCAGGGTGAAGCTTCGGACAGAATGAAGGCGATTTGTTTTGGGCTTCGTATTTACAGAATGCCTCCATGTACTCAGGTCCCCACAACCACCAGCAGATTCCGTGTATAAAATGCCTCGGAGTGAAAGGTTGGCCATAACCAGGCTGCAGGCCCAAGGCAGAAGGCTTTCAAAAAGGAATGTAAGGTAGTAAGCCATCCCTTTGCATTCCAATTTTTGGTGAATGAAAAATTCCATGGGGGAACTCAGAGGCCAGATTTTACTTGTGAAGAGACAGTCATCTGAAAAATTCTATCCACCATTGATTTAAAGTTCTCAGGTAATTTTACTGAACTCATCCAAATAATTACCTCAATTCCTTACCTTAATTAATTCTTTCTCTTGTTAAATTAATTAATTATTTTAAATCTCTTATTGACTTGACAAAAACCAGGGCTGGCCAAAGAGTCCTTGCTGCTGGTCAACGTGTGTGCAACTGCTATGCTTACGGACCCAAGAGGCAGCTGGAGGAATGGGAGGGCTCCTTCTCATTGGTTTGGAAGTGCAGAAAGAAGACACACCAAACTCTAGCTCACCAAATCCAATGAATGCAGGTCTCAGTAGCTTTAGAGCTTATTTGCAAGAATGCAGGAGGCACTTTGGGGCAAGACTGTAGTTTTACAGCAAAGGGCACTTAATTCTTAAAATGGGAAATCCCCTGCTTGGGTAGGATGAATTTAAGAAAACAAGAAAAGAAAGAAAATCCTATAGTTGCTAACCAATGTGAGCCTCTAGCCAATATTTGATCTGAATAATTCAAAAAGGGAAGTGTAACCCAGGGCAGCTGGAGGCAGCAGAGGAAGAGACAGGAAGGAAGAGAGGCACAAAGCTATGATCAATGGGCAGTTTACTGGACAAATTCTTATCCTGTCTAAATTTTATGAAAGATTAGCTGTTCTTCCTCCCCATGGTTATGCAAACTTGCCTTCTGTTTTTCTGGTTAATGGAACCCTTTGCTAATCTAGTTCCTGTGCCACTTTCGAACAGCTCTCTATTCCTCTTTAAGGAAGTAATAAGCTCACTAAAAGCTGGCAGCCGAGCACTAACCTACAGGCATGCTCAGCATGTGCCCTGGCTGGTCCAAGATCAGGAAAAACTGAGGGACCCTAGTATGCCCACAATATAAAATCTCTGCAGTCCTGTATTCTCTCTCACATTTTTTCAAACAATTATCACCAAGAGGGGATGGGAGAGAAAACAAAACCACAACAAGCTGAAACCTGAAAATCTGCCTTGAGGTCTCAAAAGAGAGAAAACAAGATTTCTAAAGGTCTCTTGGTCAGATGGATGTGTTAGCTGTATCTTTGCATGTTCTGCCTCATAAACTCAGGGAGGCAGGGTCTGCACTAGGGAGCCTAGCAGTTAGCTAGAGAAAGAACTTGATATGGTTTGCCTTAAATTAAAAGGAGAGTGTGGTTTGACACATTGCTCATGCCTGCACCATAGCATTCTCTAAATTCACCTTTCATCCATAAAAATAGATATGAAAATGAAAGCTAAAGACCTAGAAAAATAATCATTTACAAATGTAGTCCACTTTCCCATTGTGAAAAAAATTATTAGTTCCCTACATTACAGTGACTATATACATATAGTAACTTGCTAAGTAAGCATGTGTGTGTATCCAAAATGTATACCAAAAGACAAAAAGACAAACTCTATTCAATTTTTCAGCAATATAAAATTTGACACAGTTCACCAGAAGTTTCCAGTTTTTGTTTGTGTGCAGGGAGGGGAACTCTTTTTCCTTTCCCATACCTCTCTTATTGGTTCTTAAAATCGTCTCAGAAGACAGCAAAGAGTTTCCACTGGGCACTTCATGCATGGGCTTTTCTGGAGCTTTATTGGCGAGAGGGTCTTTCTTCATCTCTTTCTTTATTTCCTGTGAGGACAGATAAAAGGAAAACAAGACTATAGCTTGAAACTTTAGAATGCCTCTTGGACTATCTTAAGTTTCATCTTTCTGGAAATGAACTATAGCAATGCCAACTTAACATGATGCTTTAAAAACAGGATTTTCTATATTTTTGTAGTTTTCTTACATTTATTGGAGACGCACCTGGTCTTATAAAATGGAATGAGGCCCAGTATGGTGAGGCAACCTTATATAACTATGGCCATTCCATGTGACTATAAACACAATGAGTGAAACATAAAAGCCACCGTACAGCTCTAAGTGACAGTCTGTTCTTGTTAAACAATGACAAGCTTTGGCCAAGCAGACTCACCCCCTTAAAAAGCATTCTGATTTGTCTTCTTCTCAACAGAGATTTAGAGAAGCATATTCCCAAATTACCATTGTGCTCACAAGTATACTAAACCTAAAAGAAGATGATTCTAATGCATTTACAGTCATCAAGTTCCTCTGGTATTTCAACTCTTGACAAAGAAAAAAATAAGGATGGTTTATCACTCTAGATCGGGGTCAGCAAATGAAAGCTCACCACTCACTTTTGTAAAGAAAGTTTCATTAGAACACAAATACACTCGCGCATTTAAGTATTTTATATGGCTGCTTTGATGCTACACCAGCAGAATTGAGTAGTTGCAACAGAGATCAAAGTCTAAAATATCTGGCCCTTTACAGAAAAAGTTCACTGACCCCTGCTCTAGGTAGACTCTTAATCAAAGCTCCATTAAGATCTAAATTTCTAAAATGTGATGGCTGATATAATTATTTCAAATTACTTTAATAATTTACATAATTGTTTTCAAAAGCATTAATAGCCCAAGATAATAGTGACTCACAAAGCATAGGTCTGTATACAGGAATTCCTCCAAAAGGAGTAAAGAGTTTCTAGGCTTGTCTGAACCCATAATCACAGTAACTTGAGGAAAAGTGAAAGCTTAGGGGCTGACCCAAAGCATGGCTGAATGGCAGGAAGAGCTCAAAGATGAGGGATGTGTTCCTTAGCAAGAGCCCATGAGGTAAGAAATGGAGACTGCCTTCCCGCTGGAAGGAAGAGAGATGCTAAATTAGGTAGGGGGCCATGATTAGGCCCAAGCAGAGGGCAGAGGCAGAAAGTAAGCAACAAAATTTGTCAAAACAATGCGACTGCCTGCAGCTTCCTGCATACTCAAGAGTGTGTTAGTTACCATATCCAATTCCCCTATTGCTGGCTCTGTTCACAGCAGCCTCACCCTCCTTTCCTTCCTCACCAGGGCCCCACCGGAAACCAACAACTGGTGCTGGCGCTTTGCTAGGTTGAGCATTTCAGCTGGCATCCCAGAGGCCTAACTAGGCGAAGCTCAGCCCCAGGTCAATACCGGTACCTCTGCACCCCACACAAAGCTGTGTATGCTCGCGTGTATATACACGAACACCTACCTCAGCAGCCCCAGCACCTGCTAGAGCAGCAGTTGGGGGGGTTCCTATAGCCTCACAGGCAGATGGCCTCAGGGGACAATCTGCAAACATTGCCTGCCTGAGCTACATGACAGGATGCTATCTTGGTGATGGCTGCCAGCCTGCCATGGCTCTGGAAGTAAAGACAACAAGCCACCAGGTAGGCTCATTTTCCCACGGGGTGCTTCTTTAGGGGAAGAACAGTTGCTCAAACCTCATTTTCCATCGCAGCATGGGTATGAACGTGCACGTGCAAATTCCCCACCTTGCCGCAATGTAATGCAGAAACACAACAGAGCACAACACTCAACTTTGCCAAGGAGTAATTCAGAGAAAGTCAGTGAGTTAGGTGTCTCATAGTCACTCATAGTGAGGTGGTCATGGGTAACGGCATCTCTCCACTTTAGGGTTCTCAAACAGACTTTGGAGGCCTCTATTCTCAAGTTCAGATGTCTTACAGGTGAGCTCTGATGTGGAAAGACAGAAGGTATAGGGAAGGAGGGGGATTTTTGTGCGTTAGCATGAGTGTGTACTTCAGGCCTTGGGAGCTGGCAAGAGGGAGGGAAGGAAGGAGAACAAAATCTTTGGAAGGTGTTTCTTGTACCTGGGGATACTGCTCTGAATCTCCATAGTCCTCCACTGTGAACTGAGGAGGGGAGGGGTGTGCTGGGGAATAAATCTTGTATGGGAACAGTCTTGAAGATTTAAAAAAAAAATACACTAAGTAGTGAGTGTCTACTTAGCACTCACTGCTAATGGCATGCAGGCAGGGAAGAGTGAGAGAATTGGCATCAACATTGTGAGGCTGGAGTGGTCCATGGAAAAAGCCTCAGAAGCCATGGTTCCTAAGAAGGCTCACCCCTACTCCCCATTGCTTCAGAGCAGCACATGGGGAACAGCTGACTGGGAAGGACTGGTCTGATTGAGAGCAGGTGCTGAAGGACTAAGAAACTGGCACCAGGAAAGAGGCTGGCCCATAAATCCCAGACTCCATTGTCCCCCCCTCCCCGCTGTGATTGTTTACATTTGCCAGATAGAGAAGCCGAAAGATCAGTGAATTGCTTAAGTTGCTTCTGAGGTGGAAGCAGGGAGGAGACAAAACTTAAAATATGTCTTGCATGTTTTTCAGAGAAACCAATTGGAAACGTGGCTGTGGCAGTTAATTCTATAGGCTCCGCACCTGGATAACACACAGGCTCAGTGCAGCCCCACCCAAAGCCAACACCTTCTCTCCAACCTGCCCCTTCTCCCAGGAAAGGGCAGCCTGTCTTGTTTGGTACCCCATCATCCACCACTTATCCAGGCGAGAAAACTCAGTATTAGCCCTCTATCTAAGCAGTCACCCAGTATGGCTGCATCTGCTTTCTCAATCTCTCTGTTTCTTTCTCATCCTCCTGTAATATCTTAAAAACATAAAGGGGAAAAAATATAAATGCCAAGCAAATGACCTGAATAGACATTTCTCCAAAGAAAACATACAAGTGGCTAATGAGCACGTGACAAGACGTTCAACATCGTTAGTCATTAGGGAAATGCAAATGAAAACCACAATGAAATACCCTTTTGTACCTACTAAAATGGCTAGAATTTTAAAAGATAGAAAACAAGTGTTGATGAGGATGTGGAGAAAATGAAATCTTTGTATATTGCTAATGGGAATGTAAAATAATGCAGCTCCTGTGGAAAACAGTATGGCAGCTCCTCGGAAAGTTACATCCAGAATTATCATACGATCCAGTAATTCTAATTCTAGGCATATATTCAAAAGAATTGAAAGCAGGGACTCCAACAGAATTGAAAGCTTTGCCCTGAAGGCAAACTTGTATGCCAGTGTTTACTACAGCCTTATACATAATAGCCAAAGATGGAAATAAACCAATTGTCCATTAAGAGACGAATGGACAAAAAAGATGTGGTATAATCCACAAAATGGAATATTATACAGCCTAGAAAAGGAATAAAGTTCTCTTACATGCTACAACATGGATGAACCTAGAAAACATTATGCTAAGTGAAATAAACCAGACACAAAGGGGCAAACATTGTATGAGTCCATTTACATGAACTATCTAGAATGTGCAAATTCATAGAGATAGAAAGTAGATTAGAGGTTACCTGAAAGATTAGGGGAGGCAGAATGAGGAGTTATTGTTTGATAGTTAAAGGGTTCTCTTTGGAGTAGTGAAAATGTTTTGGACATAGATAGTCCTGATGGTTGCACAACATTCTAACGTAACTAATGCTACTGACGGTACACTTAAAATAACTAAAATGGCAAATTTTATGTTACATATATTACCACAACAAAAGAAATAGAAAACCCCCACATGAATAGCAGCTAACATTTGAGTGCTTACCATGTGACAAACCCTGCTCTAAGAGCTTCATCTGGACTGCAACTTTTAATCTGCACTACAGCCCTATTCAGACACACACGCCAAGACCCAGGGGGCTAAGGAAACTTGCTCAAGGTCAAACAAGTAGGAGCCAGAATTTGAACCCAACCTGTCTAGCTTCAGAGCTCATTTTTTTTTAAGACAGTCTCACTCTGTTGCCCAGGCTGGAGTGCAGTGGCGTGATCTCAGTTCACTGCAACCTCTGCCTCCCAGGTTCAAGCAATTGTCATGTCTCAGCCTCCTGAGAGGCTGGGATTACAGGCACATGCCACCTCATCTGGCTATTTTTTTTTTTTTTCAGTAGAGACAGGGTTTTGTGATATTGGCCAGGCTGCTCTCAAACTCCTGACCTCAAGTGATCCACTCACCTTGGCCTCCCAAAATGCTGAAATTATAGGGGAGAGCTCATCTCTTAACCACTCTTTCCCAGAGTCCTGCCTGGATTATAATCATCGCCTTCCTGCCTCCAAACTCACCCCTCCCAGTTCACCCTCTGCACTGCCATAATGGACACTCAAATGTCTGTTCTTGTCAGTCCCTAAAGAAATCTCCAGTTACTTCCCAAAGACCACAGGACAAGCTTTCATTCAAACACTTTTCAAATTGAACAGCAAACCACAAGTCCCTGTGTACCTGCTTCTAGCTAAAAATATCTGACACACATGCTGACCCCACAGTACCAATTACCATGCAAATATAAGTTGGGGAGGGGTGTTGCACTGCTTGGACAACACCTTATGTTTACAGAATCCTGATGTCATGGACTCCTATCCATAGGCTCTAAAAATAGGTGATGATGCTAGCAATGATACAACTGTACACTGGCAAAGGCTTATAAATTAAAGTGATTTAGCAGCTATTATTTTCACTTGCTGTTAACAACAACAACACTGTCAGGAAAAAAAAAACACCTGATTTTGCCAGACATATATTTTTATACATAAGAATAATGAGACCCAGTCAGAAAAGATGCAAGACCAGATGAGGGCCACAAAGCTAGCAAGGGGCAGAGCTGGCCACGAGACCAAACTCTGAGCCTTCTAGGCAAAGCTCTCCTGCTACATCTCACCTCCTAAGAAGAATCAGTGGCATGACTATAGGCGGGAGACTCAAAACCACTCAGCCTGTGGCTCCAGTGGA